TCGTACACACTGACATTCCAGAATAAAATCGGCCATTGTTAGGGAGAGCGCCCACCAAGGTGGCGTGGCACGTAGCAAGTAGCAAGTAGCACGCGTCTAGCATGTTACATAAAATGTAACCAATGACAAACGAATGATTAGAGCGACTGACGTCACTGTCATTTTGGTGTAGCTGAATCATTCGTTTTCATTGGTTACATTTTAAGTAACATGCTAGACGCGTGCTACTTGCTACTTGCCACGTGCCACGCCACTTTGGTGGGCGCTCCCACTTACTAGCTACTTTGGGCGCATGTATTTATTCATAAGCTCCAACCTTATTATATTGTATCGATGGTTCAAATAATACTTTATCGCCCTCTATGAGTGGTGGGAACAATTAGGTATTGGCGGTAACCATTAGATCCCTTCTTTCTAGTATTATTAGCAAGTGGACCAAGGTACACGCAAAGAGTATAAACGCATATATGCGTCTTTATTCTTTGGTACACGCATACCTAAGGTACAACACCTTCCCCTACATAATTACAAAATTTCACCTTGTATTATTCATAATATACCCTATATATAGTTCCTTAGGATTAGAAGATTTTTCATTAAAAATAAAGATGACGAACTAGATGCTAGGCTTGCCTGAGTCACACTGCACATTTAATTTGATATTTAAAAAGTGAACATTTGAATTTAAAAGTTGACGGGTTCTAGCGTTTTTTTTTTAATTTTGCAAAATAAGAACAAAAACAATTTCATTCCATAAGGCGTTTTCGCACTGTATAATTTCATAATGTCACCATGTATTATTAGCAATAGAACCTACAAGATTATGGACTATGCTAGACTTGCTTGAATCACCCTACAAATTTAAATTTCTGTTGAAAAGCAAGCACATTTGTAAAAAGGACTGATATTTTTTTGTACACACTTATGACAAGTCGAAAGAAAATGCAAAAAAGTATTTTTGAAGTGTGTATATTTTAGGCAATTCCTAGCTGAGCGCTTTCGGCTTTACAAAGCCATCATCAGAGCTATGCTACAATAAAATGTTCTTATAAGTACTAATTGGTAAAGATTGTAATTTTTAACTTACGTCAATTTTTTAAATACCACTACAAAGGAGAGATCTCATTTCCTTAAATTTCAAAATTATGATTTTGTAGGTGTTGAAATTCTTAAAACATATAAAAAACATATAAAAAGCCGACACTGGACTTCACAAACACGTTAAAAAATTGAAAAAATTTTTGTCATGGTACGGGTTTAAGAACCCGACCATTGATTGATGTGAGGACGTAGACTGAATAGAACTAATGAAATCAAATGTCGGTCCTTTTAAACGATTTTTCAAAAGTGACAGGTGACAAATGTCATATATAGGAAATAGAGATTGTTTTTTTAAATTCTTACAAAATTATTTAGTAGTTTGGAATTACTAATAGTCATCAAAGACTTTCTAAAAATTAAGTTTTTAAATTAAATTTTATGTGTTCATCACATCATACAGATGACATTACTTGAATTCAAACAATGTCATTCTGTATGATGTGATGAACACATAAAATTTAATTTAAAAACTTAATTTTTAGAAAGTCTTTGATGACTATTAGTAATTCCAAACTACTAAATAATTTTGTAAGAATTTAAAAAAACAATCTCTATTTCCTATATATGACATTTGTCAACTGTCACTTTTGAAAAATCGTTTAAAAGGACCGACATTTGATTTCATTAGTTCTATTCTGTCTACGTCCTCACATCAATCAATGGTCGGGTTCTTAAACCCGTACCATGACAAAAATTTTTTCAATTTTTTAACGTGTTTGTGAAGTCCAGTGTCGGCTTTTTATATGTTTTTTATATGTTTTAAGAATTTCAACACCTACAAAATCATAATTTTGAAATTTAAGGAAATGAGATCTCTCCTTTGTAGTGGTATTTAAAAAATTGACGTAAGTTAAAAATTATAATCTTTACCAATTAGTACTTATAAGAACATTTTATTGTAGCATAGCTCTGATGATGGCTTTGTAAAGCCGGAAAGCGCTCAGCTAGGAAATTGCCTAAAATATACACACTTCAAAAATACTTTTTTGCATTTTTCTTCGACAAGCACATTGGTATTTAAAAGTTTTTTTTTGTGTGTTTTGGCTTGGGACAATTGTCATTCAGCAGTCTCAATCAAAATAAGTTTATTAATGTAGTGTGGTGTGTGTGTGTGTTTGTGTGTGTAGAGTAATTGTCTTGATACTTAGCAAAGTCGACGTCATTGTCTTTGCTAAGAGACGCTAATTGTATCCGAACGTCTGCGGTCCCTCCGGTGTGTACCGATCACACAAGGATAGAAATTATTTTATTTATTAATTTTTTTTAATAAACGAAAATTTCCACCCAGGTGAGATTCGAACTCACGACCTTTAGGTTTAAAGGCAGGCGCTCTTACCACTGAGCCACAGAGGGGGTAAGTGACAGGGTTTTTTTTGTACTTTTTTAAAATAAGGATACAAATAATTTTATTCCATAAGATTTTAATCTTAGAAGACACTTTAAGCCAGGAAAATAGAACGATAAAGAAACTAACATTGATGGTTACTACGTAAGACATATTATATTTGCTGACATTGTTTTATTAAAACTAGCTAATTAAAATGATTCTGCCTACTGACTTGTGGCATATTTAACACAGGTGTGTAATGACCGTTACACGTGCACCAAATGCCGACATTAATATTCGTATCTCAACACACCGATAGAACCCGTACAAAAATTTCAGTATCTTGGTTGCTGGATAACAAACGATCTTGACTACGAAGTTACAATACGTCTCGTATAGAGTATACTAGGTCCGCTTTTCAAATAATGAAAAAATTCCTAATAAACTCTACCGTATCGTTAGATATCCAAGTCGGAATTCTATAGTCCAAACATTCTATACGGAGGAGAAACATGGACTTTCGGAATCACAAGTATGAGACGTGTAGAAGCCTTTGAGATGTGGGTTTTTCGAAGGATGCTGAAGATCTCTTGGACAGAGCACGTGACCAACAACTAGGTGCTGAGAAGAATTGGGACTGAGAAAAAACTCCTAAATATTGTAAAAACCAGAAAAACGAGTTATCTAGGACATATTTACAGAGGAGAAAAATACAACTTTCTACGACTTATAATGGAAGGGAAAGTGGAAGAAAGAAGAGATCCAGGAAGAAGAAAATGCTCCTGGTTGAAGAATGTAAGAGACTGGGCAGGCATGGACACACACTCGATACTAAGTAAGAACAGCTCAAGATAGAGAGCAATTTGCTGTAGTTATAGCCAACCTTCAGTAGTGGAGAAGGTACCTTAAGAAGAAGTTTAAACACGAAAACGTCTCAAATAAAAATTGTGAAAATGATCTTTAACCTATAAATTTTTATGTTTGGCGGTAGAAAAATTTTAAATTTGACAGTTGACTTACTAACACCTCATACCTTAGACAAGGAAAGAGAGAGGACGGGTAACGCTCGTTCAACCAACCTTCAAAAAGTGAAGCCACTTTTCGATGTGTCCGCCATTTTTTTGGTGGCAAACAATAGATCTGACACCAGTTTTGTTTTTGTGGTTTTTTAAAAAAAGTGAATTAAACACCTATTTTTTTTTACTTAACAAAATGGTGAATTGTGCATATATTCTTTGTAAAAATCGCAGCGAGCAGAAAACACCAGGAATATCGTTTCATAGGTAAATATTTATAATAGTGCAATTAGGTATTAATTGATTTTACTTTTTATTTCAATTTTAAACCTCAAAACCAATTTAAATTAGTATTTTAAGGAAAGGTGAGATCTAAATTGCCAAATAAGAATGCTAAATATGCATAGTTATTTCAGTAATTGTATTATAAGTAATAATTTCACTCACACACCATGATGATTTGCCAGCGGCGGTGTGCGTTGAGGGTTAAAATTCCATAAAATATTCCATAAAATTCCATAAATAAGTAAATAAATAAATAAATTTCGTTAATTTTGATTCCAAAATATTTGTATAAAATAAAATAAATTAAATAAAACATTTAATGTACAAAAATATTTCATTTTAAATACGTATCAATCAATCCTTAAAAATACAAAGATACACCGCTGACCACTTTCTCTGGTGGCAGTTTGGCTTCAGTTTTAGCTATACGGTTACGCGTCCTCTCTCTTTCCTTGTCTAAGCCTCATACAGTTCCAAACTCTTCTGACATGTCTATTCAGAATCAGTTAATAGAAAACATCAGCGCACGTGTTTGTTTAGGACACACTACGATCCAAGAAAAGAATACCAAAATTTCTAGACATATCCGGCTATACAAGGAAAATGACGAGATTGTTGGTGTGTTTTTCTATGAATTATTAGGTAAAATTTTGAGTTTGTTTGATTTTAATTTTCAAAAGGTTTTACATATACTGTTATTTAAATAAGTGATAAGTAAGTGATCCACCGCCATTGGATCTGCTGACGAATAGAAGAAAATTTCTACAAACTAACAAACTAGTGGAAGCCATATAGTATAAGTAATATCAACATATTTCATCGCTGGTAAGGTTGTTTGCCACCACAAACGCAAATTGTTGTAAGGTCAAAAGTTGGGCGTCTTGTCAAAATGAAACTACTCACGAAAAATTAGCTTGTTAGTAAAGTGCGCGCAAGCACTCTTGACCACGGCGCAGTAGATGAAATTTGGTTTAGTCACCACTTCCGTGTGAAACGCATTGTACTATGCACTGTATAATTCCATTTACAATAGAACCTTTCTGCCTTTACGTGAATTTGACTCCGCCCTCGCGCAGCTCCATGGTCAAGAGTGCTTGCGCGCACTATAATAGAGGGTAAAAATGGGTCCGGGATCACGGACTATGTTTGGAATATTTGGGAGATTATTTGAAAAGTGTGTAGACACCGAAGAAATTTCAGGAGAATAGAAAAAATCAATGGAATCTTCAGTAATAAAAAGGAACAAAATAATGTCATATTGGTATTATTACCTAAATCCATATCCTCTACTATCTTTCTTTCTATCAATGGCACAGGTGAATATTTTCTGAATGCTTCTTTTGTCACAATATCTAAGTATTTTAAATCATTTAGATTAGATATGGTCAAATCCATATTTTTATCATTTCCTAATGTATCAACAATTTCGTTATACAGCTTCTTTTGAACTTCGGGATTTTCAGCCAGGGCGTATAAAGTGTAGGCAATTCCAGAAGTTGTTGTGTCATGACCCTGTAACGTTAAAAAATTGTAAGTATTATGTATAGCATACGTTACAAATTTTTGAAAAGTTTATCGTAAATACATATATCATATTGATTATGTTCAAAAGAATAGGGTTAAAAGGAACTACCACGTCGAAGGGCTTTTATCGTTTCCAATGGTCAAAGGATTCCTAAATATGAAAAAACCACGAAGTGTTACCATTTAATGAGGTGCGTTTTTGATAAAGGAGGAATTAGTCCCTATACACTAAGGTACATTTACCTAAATTCTATGCAGTTTTCGTACATATATATCTACAGAAAAGTTGTTCAAAATTAAATTTCTTATCAAAATGTCACCTTTTAAAGTCAAAAATAATTTTTTTTGGCAAAAATCTTCAAAAAACGAAGCAAAAAAACAGAAACACACGCAATATTAATTTTTTCATAACTCATAACTTTCTTTCATCGCGGTACAGGTATAGGCATTATTTTACAAAAAAAAAAATAACTTCTATCCTTCTTCTTCAAAAGAATTAAAAGTCAATAGAATACCCAGTACATGAGATACGATGTTTCAATGTTCGCCACTCCCACCATTTTTGGCCATTTTTCCATTTTTTTGCGCAAACATTATTGTATAACATATTTTGAAACTTTTTTTACGCAGTTTTAGGTATATGCAATGTTACATTTAATAAACAGAAGAGATCAGAATCACCTTTAAAGTGGCCAATTTCTAACTAACTTCTAACCTCTTCAAAGTTTTCTACTTTTAATGAAGTTTTGCGGCTTTTTTTTAAATCTTTCATTCTCGTTTACATTTCTTGTTTGAAATATTTGTTACGAGGTACATTTTTTTTTCTTCCCTACTAGAGGTAATTTTAGGAGGAAGCCCGAGGGTGACATTTTTTTAAATATTTTTGGACTCCCAAAATTGACAACCTTGTAACATTTTTTTAGTTTACTTTTTATTTTTTTTTTCTTTCAACACAGCCGATACGCCCCTGGTCGTATATGTGTTTTGACAATAGCATATTGTAACCTATAGAATTGTCTTATTGAAGGCGTGACAAATTACTGTAGTTAAAATTTTATCTACTTGAATAGAAAAATTCAACCCTTATATCTTCAATAGAGTTGGTTCTAATAAAAGTTTTAGAATAATTTTTTTAAGTGATATAATTCAAAGAAATTATGTGAGCAGTTAACGAGTGAAGTCCTCCGTAAATTTCTTGAAGTGTTGTCAGCAATTCTATCATAGAAAGTATTTTAATCTAAGCTATATTATATTAAATATATCTATATCTATTACTACCTTAAATTGTTTGTAATTTAATTTCCCCCGTACTAATACAGTCAAGTTGTAACCTCGGAAACCTTTTTTGGATGGTGCTAGAAAGGTCACCAATGGAGACACTGCGGACGGCAGCCAGATGGTTGGTGGAGAGCGAGTCGTGGGTTCGAAACTAGCTTTTGGAACCGGGAATGGGTCCAACGGACGAAATAAGTAAAGATAGGAAAGATAAGATATATTAGAAAAGATACAGAAATAAACAAAAAGATAGATGGGTAAAATTACCAAAGATAAGATAAGATAGAAACAGGGCGCCACTCAATTTTTTGGGGTTTAAGGAGAAAATTAAGAAACCTTAGAAAAGAAAAGAGATAAGGAAAGATATTTAGGTTCAGAGATCAAACCCAAGAAAAGATATTAACAGTTAATTATTAAATAAATTTGGTCAACACACTATATAAACAAATAATAAATATATTAGGTATTACACCTACTTACCTACGACACTTAATCGGCCTGATCTTTCTACTGGTCAAAGGTATAGTAATATTTAAAGGCAGAAAGCAAATATTCAGAGTTATGGTTATATCAGCAAACTTGTTAGGAGTCGACAAATAAAATGCATACATCAAACAAAAACAATATATTCAACAACACAATGATATCGGTAGCTGAATGTACACACAAGTAATAAAAATACACCATCAATTATGAAATGGTGGTATACATATAAAAATAAGCAGTAATATGAATAATAAGTACCTTTACAAATACAACAATATAATAATGCACAGGTTCAATTATCAGCGAAGAGAGTCTAATGGTGAGTAAGAAGAAAAATTCAACCAAAGTTGATTAAAGAAAGTCTCTCTTTGCTGTTTAATGAGCATATCTCGAGATATTGGGTATAGTAAATAAAAAAATGAATAACAATTATAGCAGATCACAAAAATTTATCCTAGCGGAGATTGGAAATCATCATGGCCACTGCGACTTTGTTAGCAGCGCGCCTAAAAAGTTCAATCGAACTACACCCGAACCATTCACGTAGATTACGAAGCCACGATATTTTTCTTCTTCCCACACTTCTTTTGCCCTTAATTTTGCCCTGCATGATGTTTCTTAAAAGTTCGTACTTTTCACCTCTCACAATGTGCCCCAAGTATTCCATCTTTCTAGTTTTTATCTCATTTAGAATTTCGCATCTTTTGTCTAAAGTTTGGAGTACTTGCGTGTTAGTGACGCGGTCCATCCATGATATTCTGAGAATGCGCCTATAGCACCACATCTCGAAAGCTTCGATGTTTTTTATGGTCAACTGTTTTAGTGTCCAAGCCTCAACTCCATATAACAGGGTAGAAAAGACATAACACCGCAGCATTCGTATTCGTAACTTTATATTGATATCACGATTGCAAAAGAGTTTGCGCATTCTATTAAAGACTGATCTAGCGATTTCTATTCTACATCTAATCTCTTTTGTTTGATCAGTATCGTCTGTGATCCAAGCACCTAGATATTTATAACAGGGCACACGCTCAATCGTTGTATTGTCTATTACAAGATTAGCTCTGATGTTCTTTGATTTCGTGATTACCATAAATTTAGTTTTTTTCAAATTAATTTTCAAGCCGTAACTGTTACAGTATATATTGAGACTTTGAACGAGATGTTGTAGTTCTACTAGCGTTCCCGTTAGGAGAACTGTATCGTCAGCATACCTTATATTGTTGATCGTCTCACCATTTATTATCAGACCAAGATCTTCTTCCTCGAGTGCTTGTTCACAGATAGCTTCACTATACAGATTAAATAAAAGTGGCGATAAGATACATCCCTGCCGGACTCCTCGACGGATTTGAATTTCTTCTGTTAGTCTGCCCTCAACCTTGACATTTGCTGTTTGATTCCAATATAGATTGCATATAATTCGAATATCTCGGCTGTCTATATTTTTCTTTATTAGAACTTGTCTTAGTGGTTCATGTTGTACTTTGTCAAAGGCCTTTTCGAAATCAATAAAGCAGGCGTAAATTTCTTGGTTCATGTCTAAGCATCTCTGTGAGAGAACGTTCATTGCAAACAGAGCCTCCCTTGTACCCAGCCCTTTTCTGAATCCCATCTGAGTGTTACTGATGTCTACGTCTAATTTCCTATAGATCCTATTATGGATTATTTTTAAGAACAGTTTTAGAGCATGACTCATCAAAGCTATCGTACGATATTCGTTGCATTCCTTTGTATTTGCCTTTTTTGGCAGTAGTATAAAGGTCGAACGGAGCCATTCCCTAGGTATTATTCCAGTTCTATATATTGTGTTAAATAGATCTAGGAGTATTTTAATAGATTATGTCATAAGTTTGAGCAGTTCTACGGGAATTTCATTCAAATCTAAATTTACAAGAATACAAAAAGGTTACAGAAACAAAAATTTGACCAACCCGCACTGGTCGTAGTTAATTATCTATCTCGCACTGTTATTTAATGATTGAGAACTAAATGTTCGTAATTATTATTTATTGAAATTTCTTAGTAGCTGATGGAAAGTTCGTAAAAAATATTGAATGTTCTTTAAATTGAATGCAAAAATCAGTAGTTACTCTCAACTACAGGTGAAGACATGAATGAACTTTGATTCGCCCAGATGATTGCAGATAATATGATACCATACCATATTATTCGCCCAGATAAGTGAAGATACTATGATTACTTACAGTAAATCTTGATGACTGCTGCACTAATTCACTGAAGCTAATACTATACTTGTATTTAAACACTGAAGTTAATTAACATTAAAGGTACTTTATAACTATATTTAATCTAATATAGTATAAGATCAAAAAAACTCAAATATACAAGTGTATACACACTTAGAAAGAAAATGCACAGAGAAGGTAACACAGAGACGGTAAGATATGGCGAAGCGGCCGACGAGAAGTAAGTCTTTTCTCCACGAGTGCCCACTTAGAAGTGAGTCTTTTTTCTGCCAAAATTTACCAAACTACCCAAAAAAGGTAAGGGTATCTCCCACTTAAAAATGATAGGACAGTTGTAAGTATTTCTGAGTAGGTAAGATTCTAACGAACATCTAAACTAACGGTACCCTTTTAGCTAGGAACGTGATAAAATATAAACCTTGTGGATTAAGTTTTTACCGAAAAATACCATAAAATGCCTTCGACAACTTTGCTTGCCAAAGTATCAAACAGAAACTTGCCTTAAAGCCGGAAAGATTTAGTTTCTTTCATACTCAGGACTACAAAGGAAAAGATTAAAAACTTTTCGAACTTCGTAATAATTTAATATATTTATTATAAAAAAATGTTACAAAGTATAGTATAGTAAGTTTAAAATCAGTGCAATTTTAAGAGTGCAGATCTACAAAACAACTGTAAGTAATTATTAGTTTACCTTTATATCATCACAAAAACCGGAGAGGGTGCAAAATCTTTGACAATGCACCAGTTACCTTTTTCACCTGTCTTTAAAAGTAATTAATGCTGGTACCGGATTCCTTCTAGATCATCTGTAATTATACATCAATTTTCAACCAATCACAATATTTAACATTTAAGAACTACATTTAGATTTGATTTCATTAAAAATTGTGCGGAACTTAATTTTAAAAGCAAAGTGCGGTTTGTTTGTTTGCGCAACACAGATTTTGATTTATTTTTGGACTTCTTTAGATATTCGATAATATCATTTCATTAAACTTTGAGTTTCCTTTA